GAAAGAGAGAGAGAGAATCACTAATTACACAAAGTTGTGCTAATCATAGAGATGAATCTATGACGTCCTATCCGTTCTTGTAGCTCACCCGGGCACAGGTCACTGACCCACATCAGGGCCTAGGGGGCGAAAATATAATAATAATAATAATAATAATAATAATAATAATAATAATAATAATAATAATAATAATAATAATAATAATAATAATAATAATAATAATAATAATAATAATAATAATAATAATAATAATAATAATAATAATAATAATAATAATAATAATAATAATAATAATAATGATAATAATAATAATAATAATAATAATAATAATAATAATAATAATAATAATAATAATAAAATAATAATAATAATAATAATAATAATAATAATAATAATAATAATAATAATAATAATAATAATAATAAATAATAATAATAATATAATAATAATAATAAAATAATAATAATAATAATAATAATAATAATAATAATAATAATAATAATAATAATAATAATAATAATAATAATGTAATAATAATAATAATAATAATAATAATAATAATAATAATAATAATAATAATAATAATAAATAATAATAATAATAATAATAATAATAATAATAATAATAATAATAATAATAATAATAATAATAATAATAATAATAATAATAATAATAATAATAATAATAATAATAATAATAATAATAATAATAATAATAATAATAATAATAATAATAATAATAATAATAATAATAATAATAATAATAATAATATCTATTATTATTATTATTACAACAATTAATAAAATGAATAGCAAATTAATACAAATACAAATAAAGTAATAAAAATAATAATTATAGACAAGAGATCCGGATACCAGCATGGATTCATCCTCAAACGTAAATAAATGAATTATAAGATTGATGGCGATAATAATACTAATACTATAATAACCTCTACTATTGTAAACTAACTTAACACTACCTTAACGCAATCTAACCTACCCTAACTTAGACCAAACCTAAATAATCCATACCTAACTGAACCTAACTTAATTGCAATCTAACCTGTACTAACACCTCACCCCCCAAAAACATGACCTAATTTGACTCACCGTGACCCTAGACTTAGGAAATTCATCTGAAGTTTGTCAATTATGAGATAAAAATCCGATGATTGTTTTTTTTAAGCTTTTGGTCATAAATTCGATATACCATTAGCATTACACCTTCCAGGGATAGTTAGGGAGGGTGAAGGGAGACTTATGGAGAGTTAGGGGGTGTAGGGAGAATTAGGGAGAGTTAGGGAGAGTGAAGGGAGAGTTATGGAGAGTTAAGGGGTGTAGGGAGAATTAGGGAGAGTTAGGGAGCGTTAAGGGGTGTAGGGAGAATTAGGGAGAGTTAGGGAGGGTGAAGGGAGAGTTATGGAGAGTTAAGGGGTGTAGGGAGAATTAGGGAGAGTTATGGAGAGTTAAGGGGTGTAGGGAGAATTAGGGAGAGTTATGGAGAGTTAAGGGGTGTAGGGAGAATTAGGGAGAGTTATGGAGAGTTAAGGGGTGCAGGGAGAATTAGGGAGAATTAGGGAGAGTTAGGGAGAGTTATGGAGAGTTAAGGTGTAGGGAGAATTAGGAGAGTTATGGAGAGTTAAGGGGTGTAGGGAGAATTAGGGAGAGTTAGGGAGGGTGAAAGGAGAGTTAGAGAGAGCTTGAGGGTGTAGGGAGAATTAGGGAGAATTAAGGAGAATGAAGTGAGAGTTATGGAGAGTTATGGAGAGTTTGGGGTATAGGGAGAATTGGGGAGAGTTAGGGGAGGATAAAGGGGAGAGAAGGACGGTGAAGGAGAGCTACAGGGGTGAAGGGAGAGTTATGGAGAGTTAGGGGAGGGTGAAGGGAGAGCTAGGGGGTGAAGGGAGAGTTTGGGAGAGTTGGGGGTAAAGGGAGAGCTAGGGAGGTGAAGGAAGAGTTAGGGAGAGTTAGGGAGGGTGAAGGCACAGTTATGGAGAGTTAGGGAGGTTGAGGGGAGTGTTAGAGGGGTGAATGGAGAGTTAGGGAGGGTGACAGGAGAGTTATGAAGAGTTAGGGATGGTGAAGGGAGAGTTATGGAGGAGTTGGGGGTGTAGGAAGAATTAGGGAGAGTTAGGGAGAGTGTAGTAAGAGGGGACGGAGAGTAAAGAGGGGAGGGAGGAGAAGAGAGGGAGAGAGGGGAGGAGGAAGTAAGAGGGGAGGGAGGGGACGGAGGAAGTAAGAGGGGAGGGAGGAGGAAGTAAAGAGGGGAGAGAGGGAGAGGGAGAAGTAGGGGAGGAGAGGGATGGGGAGGAAGTAAGAGGGGAGAGAGGGAGGAGGAAGTAAGAGGGGAGGAGGAGGGGGAGAGGAGGAGATGGGGGGAGGGGGAGAAGTATGAGGGGAGAGGGAGGAGGTGAGGGGAGAGGGGGAGTGGGGGGGAGGAGGAGGTGAAGTAAGAGGGAGGAGAGAGGAGGAGGGAGTATGAGGGAGGGAGAGGAGGAAGGGAGTAAGAGAGGGGAGAGGGGAGAGAGAGGGAGGGAGTAAGAGGGAGAGAGGGAGGAGGGAAGGGAGGGGAAGAGAGGGAGGAGGGTAGTAGAGGGGGAGAGAGGGAGGAGGTAGTAAGCCCAGGGGGGAGAGAGAGGGAGGGAGGTAGTAGAGGGAGAGAGAGGAGGGAGAGAGGGGAGGAGTAAGAGGAGGGAGGTAGTAAGAAGAAGGGAGGAGGAGGGAGAAGGGAGAGGGGAGAGAGAGGGAGGAGGAAGTATGAGGGGGAGAGGAGGGAGGGTAATCAAGAGAGGAGAAAAGGAGGGAGTGGAGGGGAGAGGGAGGGAACTAGTAAGAAAGGAGAGGGAGGAGGGAGGAGGGAGGAGGGGGAGGGTGATATTGGGGAGGAGGAGGAGTGAGTAAGAGGGGAGGAGGTAGTAATGGGGAGAGGGAGGAGGAAGTAAGAGGGGAGAGAGGGAGGAGGAAGTGGGGAGAGGGGAGAGAGAGGAGGAGGAAGTATGAGGGGAGGAGGAAGTAAAGGGGAGGGAGGGAGGAAGTAAGAGGGGAGAGGGGAGTAGAGGGAGAGAGGAGAGGGGGAGGAGAGGGAGGGAGAGAGGGGGAGAGAGGAGGCAGGGGAGGAGTGAGGGGGAGAGGGGGAGGAAGTAAGAGGGGAGAGGGAGGAGGAGTAAAAGGAGGGAGAGGAGAGGAGAGAGAGAGGAAGAGGAGAGGAGGGAAGAAGGGGGAGAGAGGGGGAGGAGGGAGGAGAGAGAGGGGAGGAGCGTAAGGAGAGGGGGAGGGAGAGAGGAGGAGGGAAGTAGAGAGGGGAGAGAGGGGAGAGGGAGGGAGGAGGAAGAGGAGGGAGAGAGGGAGGGAGGTGAGGAGGAGAGAGGGGAGAGGGAGAATGGAGGGAGGAGGAAGTGATGAGAGGAGAAAGAGAGGGATGGAGGTAGTAAGAGAGGAGGAGGAGGAGGAAGTAGGAGAGAGGGAGAGGGGAGGGAAGAGGAGGGGAGAGAGGAGGAGAGGAGGAGGGAGGGAGGAGGAAGAGGGAGGGAGGATGGGAGGGAGAGAGGGAGGAGGAGTGGAGGGGAGAGAGGGGAGGAGGTAGTAAGAGGGGAGAGGAGGAGGAAAAGAGGGAGAGAGGGAGGATAGAAGAGGAGAAAAGGAGGAGGAAGTAAGAGGGGAGAGGGGGAGGATGGTAGAAGCGGGAGAGAGGGAGGAGGTAGTAGAGAGGGGAGAGAGGGAGGGAGGAGTAAGAGAGGGAGGAGAGGGAGGGAGGAAGTAAGAGGGGAGGGAGGGGAGGGAGGGAGGAGAAGTAAGATGGGGAGAGAGGAGGAGGTAGTAAGAGGGAAAAAGAGGGAGGAAGTAAGAGGGAGAGAGGGAGGAACTAGTAAGGAGAAAAGGAGGAGGAAGTAAGAGGGAGGGGAGGGAGGTAGTAAGCGGGGGAGAGGGAGGGAGGTAGTAAGAGGGAGAGAGGGAGGAGGTAGTAAGAGAGAGGGAGGAGGTAGTAAGAGGGAGAGAGGGAGGAAGGAAGCAGAAGAGGAGAGGGAGGAGGTAGTAGAGGGGAGAAAAAGGAGGAGGAAGTAAGAGGGAGAGAGAGAGAGGGAGGAGGAGTAGTAGAGGGGAGAAAAAGGAGGAGGAAGTAAGAGGGAGAGGGGAGGAACTAGTAAGAGAAGGGGGAGAGAGGAGGGAGGTAGTAGAAGGGAGGGGGAGGAGGGAGGGAGAGGGGGGAGGGAGAGTAGTAGAGGGGGAGAGGGAAGGAGGGGTGAGGGAAAAGAGGAGAGGGGAGAGGAGAGAGGGGAGGAGGAAGGAGAGGGGTGAGGGGAGGAGGAAGGAGAGGGGTGAGGGGGAAGAGGGAGGGAGAGAGAGGAGAGGGAGGAGGGAGGGAGAGGTGGGGAGGAGGAGGGAGGGGGAGAGGGAGAGGGGAGGAGAGGGGGAGAGGGGAGAGGGGGAGAGAGGAGAGGTCTACTGAATATGCATGTAATTACGCGAGACGTCAATGTGTGGTTCTTCAATGTCTGTGAGTGGCGGTTGAATGGCGGTTGTAAGTGGCGGTTGTGAGTGGCGGTTGAATGACGGTTGTAAGTGGCGGTTGTGAGTGGCGCCCACCCATACCCACATAGAGACAACTCCCCACACCCCATACATACACAAACCCCCCCACATTCAACCTCCCCCCACAAATGCACCCAAAACCATACACCCACCCAACCCTCCACACACACACACACCCAACTCTCCACACCCATCTTCCCCACACACCCGCACACTGGTATCACACAACACTCTTATCTGGTACAAGCGACCCTCACACGCCCGCAAGTTGCACTAGGATCGGTTCAGCTTAGCCAGTGTCAGTATTGTGTGTGTGTGTCTGTGTGTGCCGGTATCATGTCTCGTCTTCTGCTGTTTCTGCTGTTGATTGAGGCTCTGCTCTGTCGATCTGCTGTTTTTTGTCACCGGCAGCAGGTAGAGGTGGAACCGCATCAACAAGAGAAAATTGAAGAATTTGATGAGTAGCGGTGAACCAGATTGCTATAGCCCAGATGTTAGAGGAGCAGAAGGGGTTGATGCAGGTAGGTAAAAAAGAGAGAGAGAGAGAGAGAGAGAGAGAGAGAGAGAGAGAGAGAGAGAGAGAGAGAGAGAGAGAGAGAGAGAGAGAGAGAGAGAGAGAGAGAGAGAGAGAGAGAGAGAGAGAGAGAGAGAGAGATTACAATATTTCATTCTACATCTGCAGGTATCAATTCAATAATAGGGAAGGTAGACAACCTCACTACGACCGTCACTTTTCACCTGTCATTCCTGAACACCTGTATACAAGGTAAGTAAACAGTCTATCTTTGTCCCTCCTAATCCCTCCCTTTCTCCCACTGTCCCTACTATTCACTCCGTTTTTTCTCTCACTCATCCTACCACTTCCTCTCCCTCTCACTCATCCTACCACTTCCTCTCCCTCTCACTCATCCTACCACTTCCTCTCCCTCTCACTCATCCTACCACTTCCTCTCCCTCTCACTCATCCTACCACCTCCTCTCCCTCTCACTCATCCTACCACTTCCTCTCCCTCTCACTCATCCTACCACCTCCTCTCCCTCTCACTCATCCTACCACTTCCTCTCCCTCTCACTCACTCTCCCATTGAGGTACTGTAGTGCATAATGAAGCCATGCGCATCATTCTAGGATGCCCAAAATCAACCAAAAATTGTAAACATGAGGCAAGAGCTTGGGCTTCCCTCCCTATCTGAGAGGATAGCTCTACTTAATACCATGTTTTGTGTCAAAGTTTTGAAGAACAATGGTCCCCAAACTACAGCTCAAACTGAGTTGATGTTCTATCTAAGTAGTCCCGACTATCTCGCTAACCTTCCACAAAAGACTCTCTTTGGGGCATGGCTTCATAAAAGTGTTGCAGATCTCTTAAAACTGAATGTCCCAATCACCCCAGACGAACCTATTAATGTCATTCCTTCTTGGCTGGATATATCAGTTTCTATTAATTACACTCCTGTTGATAGTAAGCAAATGTTAAACACCGATGTGATGAGATGCGTCACACTGGAAACGATTAACAGACACATAGCGAGTATTGAACACTATATTATTGAATGTGACACTGTCAATGACTTCAGGCCACCTGGCTTATTGTATCATGAACTTTTTAATTACTACATTGAATAAGGGTGCTTGAGGACATTCTTGCTGTTTATCCAAAATTTGCTAGCCCACACTGATTAGTCTTCAATTAGAATATGACGTCCAATGTATATGAACCACTGTCTTGCATGGCAGTGAACAGTGACATCACCCACACGAATCTGACCTATATATACTGTTAATGAATATGATCTATTGTTCTATTCCTTTGTCAATGAACCTCTGTCTTGGGTGGCAGTGAGAAGTGATACCACCCTCAGTGTCAAGACCTGACTGAATTAATCAGAATAGGCAAACTGTACAGTACTCCAAGCTTCGTCAAAAAAAAAAAAAACATTTCCTCCTTCTCACTCACCCTACCATGTTCTCCCTTTTCCTCACTCACCCTACCATTCCCTCCCTTTCTCACTCTCCTTCTCATTCTCTCCTATACCAAATTATATTCTTTACTTCTCCACACAGATGCTCAGATGAGAGCAAACTCGACCAGTCAGATGCTAGATAAGTTGAGTCAGCTGATTGATGTAAATAAACTCGATTTGCCAACTGCCATCAACAATACCCTTCAGAATTTTGGTGCTAAATTGAATGAATCATTGACGCAGAGTAACGATGAGAAAAGTATTCAACTGAGAGAGGAAAATGAACGCATGAAGGAGGAGATCAAGATGGCGGAGGAGGAGAGTAGGAGGACAAAAATTGACATGCGTTTAGCTGAAGAGGAAAGTAGACAAGTGAAGGCTGAGATGCGTAAGGTGGAGGAAGACACTAGGATGATAAAAGAGAGGAATAGAGAGTTAGAGAGAAGACATTCAGAAGTAGAAGGAATTAGGAATGAGACAGAGAGGATATTAGAAGAATTACAGAGAGACAACCAACAACATGAAGAGACAAATAGAAATATGAAAGAAGAGAAGAAGCAACTCGTAGATAAAATAGCTTCAATGGAAGAAGAGAATAAAGAAGTACGGAAGATAAATGAAATAATAACACAAGAGAACAGGGATAAAGAACAAGAGATAAAAATAATTCAAGAAGAGAAGAATAACATTGAACAGAAGAACAGACTAATGGAAGAAGAACACCAAAAATGCAAGAAAAATGTCACAGATTTGTCAAAGAGGTAGAGTATTGGTGTAACTTGTCCTCATGTTTGCCTCGTAAATGCTTCGAACTTGCTATATTACGTATATATACATACATACATACATACATGCATACATACATACATACATACATACATACATACATACATACATACATACAAACATACATACATACATACACACATACATACATACATACTGTACACTTGTACTAAACTGAAGTGCACATCATTACAGACCAACAGTACCCCAGGATTGTGCTGAACTGTACTGCAGTGGTGTACGGCAGAGTGGGGTGTACTTTATCAATCCTGGAAGGTAACGTAAGTGGTTCTCTCTTCAAAATATGTAGTAAATATGATATAATCTTAATTGAACATTAATGGGTATAGCTAAGTTGGACAATATGGTTTAAGAGAAAGGCTCTCTCTCTCTCTCTCTCTCTCTCTCTTTCGCTCTCTTTCTCTCTCTCTCATAGTGTTGTCATCCCCAGGTCAACACAAGTGGCAGCTTGGTGTGACATGACAACTGATGGAGGTGATTGACGTAATAGTAGTACTAGTAGTAATAGCAATCATGAAAAATAAGTAATAATAATAATAATAATAATAATAATAATAATAATGATGATGATGATGATGATGATGATGATGATAATAATAATAATAATAATATTAATAATAATAATAATGATAATAACACCAGAACACTCATTTGAACACCTGACACGGTTCACTAATTATTACTAAACAGGAGGATGGACAGTGTTCTTAAAGAGAGACCACACAGGAACCCATGAAAACTTTTCCCGAGGCTGGCAAGACTACACGGTGGGCTTTGGTGATCCCAACCAGGAGTATTGGCTAGGTTAGTGTGTGTGTGTGTGTGTGTTTGTGTGTTTGTGTGTGTGGGGGGGTGGGGGGTGCAATACCATGTGTGTACTAACTTGTGTGTGTGTGTGTGCATGTGTGTGTGTGTAATAATAATAATAATAAACGGTTGCAGCCGGTGGCTGAAAATATACAGACTTACATTGGAATTAGACATAATGATATAATATACACTGAATACATTTACAGGGCTGTACAGTACATAAATCAGGAGTTGTTTATTATTTTAACAATAGATGGGATGGTGCTGTTCTTATATCTATCGGTGCGGGCTCTTATGGGCTGAGTTTTGTTGTAGTGGCAGATTGCGCGAGGTGGACGGGGCATTGCAGGTGGTAATAGGTGTCTATGACGAGGATGGTGCAGTAGTCCACTACCAAACCTTGCTAATGCGTGGTGGTGGAGGTCACTGAGGGATGGTATTTCCAGGGTGGAGAGAGCGTTGTTGTAGTCTGAGTAGTCTGCGCCGAGCATGGTTCTGCAGTCCCTCTTCTGTACCTTTTCTAGCCCACACCTCAAGTGCTACGAATTGACGCCCATAATTTCCAAAGTGTTCACCGGTGGGCGCAGTGGAGAGTGTGTGTGTGTATGTTCGCATTACTGACATAGTGTTACCATATTGTAATAATAAAATGTATATATATATATATATATATATATATATATATATATATATATATATATATATATATATATATATATATATATATATATATATATATATACCCACACGTAAGAACTAAAGTCCTACATACACATACATACATACATACTGTCATGAATCCTTAATCGAGATGATTTGGGATTACGGAGTGTTCCAGTGAATCGGGTATTGGTGATTTCATTGGAGCTCATATAAATCCAGTGTATAAAATTATAAGTAAAAAATTTGGACTATTTTTAGAAATATGACATGTAAAATACATCTATTTAGTTGAATTATTCTAATTAGCTAGTGTCTGCATAACAGCCATTAGACTAGCTACGGTGGTTCAGGTGATGAACATCAGAGAACCTTATATTTGGGAAAAGCTGGCTGAGAGTCAGCTTTACTCCTGACACCGACTGCTGTACGTTGGAGCTGCCTCCCTAATTCTCTTGGTGTTGTCTGGGTATTTATTTTCTTTACTTATGTGGCTGATCTGAACTCAACTCAACAGATAAGTTATTCTTATTATTATTATAGGTATACTATTTAGGATGTTTAATAGGAATTTAAATTAAGTTACCATTCTGTTTTGCCTTGTAATGTTCTTGCGTGAGTTTTCTTTGTAAATACAGGATAATGGTTTGTTTTAAGTGAATTTTTCACTCTTGGTTTTCTCCTTCACAATTAAACAACTTTTTACTAATAAGTGCATTAATGTAATTTATTAGATCAGTATTCTCCCAACCTGACTTAGATCTGTAATACATACATACATACATAGTAACATCTATATACACACAGGAAACGACGCCTTGCACCACCTCACAACGCCCACACCTCAAGTGCTACGAATTGACGCCCATAATTTCCAAAGTGTTCACCGGTGGGCGCAGTGGAGCGTGTTCAGTGTTGGTGACGAAGATTCTGAGTAAGTGATGGCTGTGATGATGTTTGTAATAATAATAATAATAATAATAATAATAATAATAATAATAATAATAATAATAATAATAATAATAATAATAATAATAATAATAATAATAATAATAATAACAATAACAACAATAATAATAATAATAATAATAATAATAATAGTAATAATAACAATAGTAATAATAACAGCATTAATAGCAGCAACAACAATAGGAATACAGTTATAATAATAAAAACAACAATAACAATAATAATCACAATAATACCAGCACTACCATCACCACCACAGGTACCAGCTACAGGTAGAAGGGTACCAACAAGACAACAGTACAATGGGAGACTTCCTGGTAGCCAACCATAACCTCAATGGTTACAAGTTCTCAACCAAAGACCGAGACAACGATGGCACACCCAGTGAGTAGTTGGGGAATTATATCATTTACGTCCGTCCGTTTGTAATTTTAGTGAATATTAGTAGATTTTAACCAATTTTTGTGTAGGTTTATTAAAACAAAACCTCAAGAGGGATTTAATTATTTATGTTTTGTTCGTAAATTTATCCATCCATCCATCCTTTCATCTATCAAATTTTATCTATCTGTCTATTATTCCATCCCTCTAACTACACATGTATCTATCAAACCATCCACCTATCTACTAAGTGCTAATGACGTGGTCTGCCAGACAAACCCACAGAACAGAGTAGAAATGAAATAATTTGGAATTAGTGAAAAATAATGTGGAGATAAGATAATTATTAAACAACAAAATTGTTTCCCCTTAATAACTGGTGTTAAAAAATCTGGGTGGAAACGGAGAAAAGTTCTTCAGCCCCTCAACAACCTAACCTAACCTAACCTAACCTAATCTAACCTAACCCAACCTATAACCTAACCTACAGATCGTGTTTGTGTGGAGTCATTCTCAGTGGGCGGTGGTTGGTGGTACAACAACTGTGCCTATATCACCCCCACAGGTCTTCACCAAGGCTCGGGAAAACACATGCTTGCCTTCTGGACCCCAAACAACAAGAACTGGAGTACTGTCAAGATACTACAAATTAAAATACGTCCCAGAAGCTACCCAGTGTGTTGAAGGCTAGTGTAGTGGTTTAAGGGTGTTTAAACTGACATACAGACAGTAATTATTTTTGAGAAAAGATGGGGGAATATCCACATATACCCAACTTACACATACGCACACACACACACACACACACACACATATGGTAGACATATCCACACATACTTGTTCACATCCTCAACTTACACACACACACACACACACACATCAACGATCTGTCCACCCTGGAAATGACATCCCTCGGTGACCTCCACCACCAAGCACTGACAAGGTTTGGCAGTGAACTACTGTACCACCCTCGTCATCGCCACCTCCTGTCACAGGCAGTCGTCCCCTGCCCACCTCGCGCAGTCGGCCACTACAACAAAATTCAGCCCATAAGAGCCCACACCGATAGATATAAGAATAGCACCATCCCATCTATTGTTAAAATAATAAACAACTCCTGATTTATGTACTGTACAGCCCTGTAAATGTATTCAATGCATATTATATCATTATGTCTAAATCAAATGTAAGTCTGTATATTTTCAGCCACCGGCTGCAACTCTATTAATAAACCGTTTAATATTATTATGATTATTATTATTATTATCACATTACACACACACACACACACACACACACACACACACACACACACACACACACACACACACTGTAGAAATAAATAAGCACGTATACTTGCTCAAATTCTCAATTTATAGTACACACACACACACACACACAAAGTATACAAAGTAAATATAAAATATGAATATTCCTTAAATACCTGTAATATAAAAATAAAAATTCGTATAACAAAATTATTACTGTAATGTAAGACAATAAGTTACATAATTAAAAAATTCCTGTACTGTATTGCTGTATTGTCCACCAATAAACATTTATGTAATCGGTTCCAATAATGTGTTTTAATGTCAAAGTTTTTATGTTACGCAAAGTCTTTATAAAGTCTGAGAGACATAAACAAAGACAAAGAGAGACAAAGACAAATACATAGAAAGGCAAAGACAGATAAAGTAGAGACACAGACATATAATGTACAGAGACGCACACAGACATACTGTACAGAGACGCACACAGACATATACTGTACAGAGACGCACACAGACATATACTGTACAGAGAGAGACAAAGACATAGACAGCGTGACAAATTTTATGTCCCTAATCTACTGTAACTATTTTATGTAACAAATTACTCTTATGCTGTCTTTTTAATTCTTTTTCTTTCTTTATTTATTTATTCTTACTTCTTTCACCTTTTCTTTATTATCTAATTCCCTTTTCTTCTGTGTTCGTTATACTCGTATACTTGTGAGATGAGGAAGGTACTTGTTTATGTTTTTGGTTAGTCTGAGGGGTAGGAACGTAGGGGCCCCTCACACACCAGCAAGGGGAGGCTGGTCAGGGGAACTAAGATACAACAATGTTTTAGTCAACACAAGGGAACTGAGAACTAATCATAATGGTTCTTCAGTTATTAACGACTCAAATTGAACAGTTACATTTTCGAAACAATAACCTATCTTCCGAGCTAGCTACCCAGGGGTCATATAAATCACAATACATTTCGGGAAGCTGATCAAAGCTACTAGGTACTGTATGTATATTATGTATGTTGTATGTATACCATGTATGTACTCTATATATACACATTATTTCTCTAGTCAGTAGCGTGTGGCAATGCCCCTGTTTCATGTCACCACACGCTTAGATAAATGTGCCTGGCGACATCTGGAAGCAGCCAGTATACCACTTACCACATGTCGCCCAAGAGGTCAGAGTGAGGTCAGTTGACCCTATAGGAGTGTAAGGACTACCTGCGCTTGTAAGCGCACCCCTGTATATTTCCGTTAATAAGAACCTACAGAACTCTACAGGTGTTTATGTTCGCTCCTGTATTAGAACCAAGCACCCCGAACATCTCCATGGCGCAGTGAGTATCAAGTGATCGATTAAGTGGAAATAAGTGCGTTCGTGTAAAATCAAGGCCGGTAGACCTCCTCCGTCAACTCCGTCATCCGTCGCCATTGTCTCCCACAAATTTAGTTTGAATTGCCATCGAGTTTTGAGCAGTGTGCAGTGACCGCAATTTCCTGTGAAGTGTCTTTAAGTGCCCCTCGTGTGTGTGTATTGTTAAAGTGTGTGTCCTTGTTACAAGAGATTCCCCTAAGGTGGAAGGCTGATGTAGGGGCATTTGGCGAAGAATCCGCACGACAAATGCAGGCCGCACAGGCCAGCTACCCCCCACTGCTCACCCCCACACCACTTTGCCTCGCCTCTCGCCACCGCTTTCACACCAACCTATGCACTAACACGCACTGACCGCGGTCATTTCTTCATATATATTTTATATACCCGCCGCCTTTATACCCTTTATATATATGCTATATATATCCGCCGCCATTGCTTATCTGTGTATTCAGTGTTTTGTTGTCTCAGATCTGGTTGATACGGCAAGGCTGACCGGTCAGCTTGCTGATTTGACATACAATATACAGATAAAAGTAATTATGCCCCCAGGCCTCACGCAGCGGTGTCCCTGGCACTTCCGGATAGGTCAGACGGATGACAGCTCTACAGAGATGGATGGCCAGTCATTGAGCGACGCCCCACCCTCTCCCCAGCCACAACCCCCCCCCGTCCACGGCCTCGTCCTCTGAGATAATTGCTCTCATGAAGCTTATAGGCAAAATGCGTCAGGGCAAGCAAAAGACATGCTGAGACCACCAACGGTGGAAGATAACGAACGGTTTTGCAGCACGGTATCTAGCCTCATTGCTAATCAAGCCCTTGGCCCTTCCACTACTCAGGTACCGACTGGCTCAGATACCTCGTCAATGCCACTCTACCAAAGTGGTTATCGCCCCACCACGCTTGAGCCTGATGAAACTTTCCCGGGCAGATTTCGTGAGAGTGGCGGCGACGGTGGACTGATTATGCTAATGGTGGATCTCCAGGCTTGCCTAGCCTAAACAGCTCATTCAGCTACGTATGTGTATCTTTGGGAGACACCTTGTGTTGAACACACACGTTGCAAGGTGCCCTCAACGTCTTTGTTGTCTGTAGAGAGGTACTGGATGTTCTAGAACCTTGGCACGGCATCAAGGTCAGCGGAATGACTCTCCGCAGGACGAGTGTTTAGCTGTAGACAGATGGAGGACAGACTTTGACGATTTCCATGTGCGACTCAAGAGAGGCCTCCCAGAGAACAGACATATGTCCCGGTGTCACCAGCAGTGCGGGGAGACCCAGTTGAAGCAGGTGATCCTGAGTGGGTGTTGGGACGAGGAGCTTGTCCAACGCCTCACACTCTCGACTCTTCCTCCTCTCTTAGAATGTATTGATGATATGCGCGCTCCTGCCAAAACGCGGGTGTGCTACCTCTGCCATCCGCGCTCCCCTTACAGCCATACGGGCTGTGTCCCTTCAGAAGAATGAAGTCTGCCCCAACGCCTACGCCCACCACGCCCCGCCCCGGCTCCTTTGCAGCAGCTGTAGAGCAGCACAAACAGGTGCGTCACAGCTGCCGAGGTCACCTGCGACAGTTGTGACCGCAAGGACCACCTGGTCACTTACGGTGATTGCCCAGCCAAGCACGTCCAGTACAATGTGTGTGTGGTCGTCACCAGGCCACCAGCAAAGTGTTGTCCGACCAGCAGCAAACCTAGGGACGGCGTCCGGTGACTTCCACCAGTGAGGCGCCCACAGTCGCCAAATCAGAGCACGACGACCTGGACCGCTTCCGACCCGCCAGCAGGAGGGTGTACTCCTCCGCATCCAGGACCAAAGTCCCCAGCACGTCAGCGTCTCATCGTGACCTACAGCAATTTGTCATCCTGTCTCGAGATGCTGGCGACGCACCGCGCTGGTGCGGTTATGAGTTAACATTTGCAATGGCAGGGGCTTTCTCTCCAAGCGATCTAGGACCGCCTTGGGACCTCCATGCGGCAGATGATGATTCACAGATGGCTGGCCCTAGGTTCACTCTTTATGCACATGTTGCAGCTGGCAGCAGGTCGTGTCAAGCCTGGATTGACGTGCATAATGGTGTCCTGGCCTCGCTAGCATCTACAGACATTGCCAAGGTTGGCCATCATCTCCCAGGACTTACCAACACCGGTTCTCGGTGCGAAATACGCCAACAGGGTTGCGCGAAGGGCAATCCTTAAACCAGCAGCCGACATCTGCCGCCACCATCAGTAAGTTCCGCCACTACTTCTGTTACGTGGGCGTTCCTGCGCGCCTGCGAACCAACGGAGGCCCCAGTTCACAAGCCGGGACTTTTGCCTTCTCAATAGGTGGGGGTCCGGCATGTGTTGTCACCGCCATTACCCGCAGTCCAGCGACCACGCATGGGGCTGCTGTCCAAATCCCTGGCCACCTCTCATCCTCCAAAGTGGCCCCCTTCACCAGAATATTGACCTGCCGAGGCCTTCGACCAGAGATGCTCATGGGCTCACCGGCACCCAATTACGCGGACGCTCCGTCGGGTCTTGCGCCAGACTTCCCCGTTCTTTGTGTCCTGCTAACCCTCAAGACAGAGATTGCGTGATCGCCGAGCCGCCGAACGTATTCAAGACGTCGTCGCCCGCCACAACTGACCGCCCGTCCTCTCCCCAGGTTGAGTGTCGGCACCAAGTCCGTGTCAGGACCCGACCTCCCTACAGGTTGGGACAAAGTAGGCCCAGTGTAGATGCTCGGCTTGGTCACGGGACTACCAGGTGCGGTTACCGGCGGTCGGGTAATGATTGACCTCGTTTCCTCCGCCCGCCAACACCCATATCCCATCCGCTGACCCAGTCACCAGTGCTGGGTCCCCATCCCCCCCAGTGATTAAGCCTTTACTCGACTTTTCCAGGAACGGATCACAGGAAAAGGTCTGCTGAAGACTTGGCCCTTAGCCAGGCGTATAGAGAAACGAGTGTATGTATATTATGTATGTTGTATATGCATGTATGTACTCTATATATACATTATTTCTCCTGGTCAGTAGGGTGTTGGCAATGCCCTGTTTCATGTCACCACACGCTTAGATAAATGTGCCTGGCGACATCTAGGAAGCTGCTAGTATCTGCACCTGCACATGTCGCCCGAGAATTCAAGTGGTCAGTTGACCCTATAGGGTGTAAGGACTA